GCATATCTTTTCTTAATTCTCTAAATCCAGAGTGCCTTTGGCCGAAAGCAATGAGTCTGACCTGGACTTTGGATCTGGCATATTCCATGATCTTACTCCTGGGTCTGTGTGGAGGCTTTGGAGATGAACATAGGGTCAGGAGACCTGAGTTTGAATGTCAGTTACTTCGCTTTATAATCACCAGCCAGTTAACCTCCCTTGGCTTTCATTTCCACATCTGTAAAATAATATATCCAACCCAGGATTATTGTGAAGGTTAAGTAAGTTAATGTGTGGGACGAGGCCTCGCACAGTACTTTGCACTTGGTATTTGTTAAATGCCGCTTGTGTGATCCTGTTTTTGAGGAAATAAGAGGAGGGGTACTTAACTTCTCTGTGCTTCTTGGAAGTGAGTTATATCTTCTGAGTAAATAACAGTAATTCCTAAGGGAGTATCTTGTATATAGCAAGTACTGAATGAATGAATGAATGAATGAATGAATGAACGAATATCCTGGACAGAGTTACTTGTCCTGATGGTGCTCAGCCAGAACCAATATTACTTTGTCGGAGGGTGAGAGCTGCTTGCTAGGGAGTGATTCTCATGATTGAAAGGCGGATAGATAGCACGGATTAGTCACCTTGGATTCAATTATTCTAAAACTACTGACTTGCAGGAAATTTTAATTTCTGAAATTTATATATTTTTTTGTTGGCGCTAGAAAATTGGCCATATGATAGAATTGGTTGGAACAATGATTTTTTTTTTTTCCCCAAAAAGGTTTTCAGTTGCTTATGAAAACTGGCCTCTCGCAGGGCAGGTGGTGTAGGGCCCACGGCGTCAGTGGCTGGTGATACCGTGGCTTTTTTGCTTGTCAGCTCAGACTGGTGTTAACGCAGCTTCTTAGACAAACTTATATAGAACATATGTCGGCGTTTATTTATTCATTTAGTGAGGTCATCAGGAGATAAAGTATGCCAGTTTAAATTGACAGGAGTTTAGGCCTGACTGCTGTTTCACCTCCCATGGTCATAAAAAAATCCCATTTTTATCTGTGATAAGGTTAAATCTGTGATATGGATGGTTTGGGCCACAGTCTGACATGACCCATTAATCAGAAATAACAAGTAGTGTATCTGCAAAGCAAATGACAAGCAGCTTGATCTGTGGTGATTAATTAGATGTGCCAAGAAACAGGGTTTTATGTACTCGCAAGAAGCCATGCACCCGGATGCCAGATAGAGGTCAAACACAAGTCAGCTGGCAGAAGCCCGAGTCCTGCTTTTTCTCAAGGAAAACTTTCCAGCGTGCCATTGAAGATGCTGAACATATGCTCTACGTAGTTCTTATTTTGGGGACACAACTTTTCTTTCACGGTGGGGAGAGGTGTTCCAGGGGAAGGAACAGCCCGTCGGAGGGGACACGTTTGAAGACTGAGAAGGTTGAAACAAGGAGCGAGAGCTCCCTGTGTGTTCGGACACCTGGTCACGTTCATGGCCAGCCTTAGAGCCCTCTGGAACAGTAGTGGCGCTGAGAGGGCCCTTGGAGAACATCATAACCTGTGGTTTTCAGACTGTGTTTTGAGGAGTCCAGGGGGTTCAGGGGAAGCTGAACAGCTGTACTGTACCAAGCGAACAGGCTGTGCTAAGCAGGGACACCAAAATAACACCTGGGAAAATTAGTTTTATGTGTTACGGTTTAGTATTGCTTTTAGTTTGAATTGTATGTGGGAAGGGGGTGAGCATCCTAATCTCTAGTGCTTAGGGCCTCTAAGGATATTTATCCAGCCTCGCTGGCTGGGACCCCCAGACCCCTCCTTTGCCTCCTCCCTGGCATTCTAGAGCAGCTCTGTGTTTATCTGTTTTTGTGATCAGGGTTTTAAGTAACGCCATGTGCAAAAGAGTACAATCTAGAGTGCATTGCAGTACACAGAAGAAGTTTCATTTATTCATCTACTTGTTCTATTCTGTTTTGTGTTGTTTAGGCAGCGACTTGATTGGATTTATGTCTTTGAATGATTATTCTGGAAGAAGGTGGGGTTGAAGGTGGGGAAAGACCTCCGGACCTCCGTTCCGCCATCTGTGAAATAAGGCTGGTGTAGCTTCTGTGATTCGTGATGGTGAATGAGCCCTGAAGCCTGAGTTCCTGTAAATGACAGGTTTTCCATATAAAAGTCAGCCAGGGAAATTATTCCTGGCATTTGGAGTCTCGGAAACTCTTTGATGTTCATGGATTTACCAGAAAGGGCTTTCGTGGGGTTCTTTTGGCCCAGGGCAAGCTAGCTGTTGATGTAATCAGGAGACCACAAAGAATGATTTCTGCCTCCTCTGTCCTTCCTTAACAGTGCAAGGCTCCTGTGACTCATGCTTCTGAGCCTTGGACTTGGAGTAAGTGATCACATTTCCAGGGCTGAGGCAGGGCCAGCCTCCTCGGCCTCTCCCTCTTCGGCAAGCCCTAGCCTGAAAGTCCTGGTCTCCTCGGGAGCCTTGCCAGAGGCTTCTCCTTCATCCTGGGCCTTGCCTAGGTCTGACCACACTGGCTGCAGAGCACCTGGGAATCAGTTACCAAATCACAGTGCTGGAGAGAGTCGTAGCAGCCTTAGAGATCCGTGGGTCCGGGGGTTCCCAAAGCTGGCTGCGTATTGGGAAAAACGGCCTCCTCCTGTCCCTTCTTGAGTCTAATTCAGTAAGTCTATAATGGGACCCAGAAATTAGTGTTTTTTAATACTGTCCTAAGATGGTTCTCACTTGACACAGTATAGGGCATTTGGTGACCACTTGATCTAGGCTCATACTTGAATTTTATTGGACCATTTTCCCCTCAATCCACTGGGCTTAAGAAAATTAAATGTAAGACACGCTCATGTTTAGAAAATTCAAACAGCGTGAAAACATGAAGAATGAGAAGCAAAAGCTTCTCCCACTCCTAGTCTGGCCCCCAGGTAATCACTATTTAACTCTTTGGATTCTGCTCATAAATGATTTTACATTTATGTATCATCCCCCATCTGTCTACTTAATTCTACAAAATCTGAGCCAGACGAATAATCCTATGCACATTATTCTGTACTGTACTTTTCCCCCCACTTAGAATGTTCAGAACTCACTGTAGATCATCATTCTTTTTAGTAACTATTAAATACGTTAATATTTGTAACACACTTGGAACAATACTTGGTGAATAGCAAGCACTAAATATTTGTTAAATGAGTGAATGGTGTACCAATATATGGATATACACTATATTACTATTATGGACACTTGTTGCATTGGTTGCTGTAACAAACAATGCAGAAATGAACATCCCTGTGTGTATATCTTGGAGGCTTTGCCTTGGATATGGCCGTCAGCAGCTTACTTAGCGGGGCAGCAGTGGGCATGGAGCCAAAGGCATTAGAAAGGAGAAGGTATTGATTAGGACAAAGCAGGGCATTGGACTAGAATTGGAAATTTTGTTTGGGACCTAGAATCACAGAAATACAGATCTCAGATCTCAGATCTAGAAGGAACCACAGCAGAGTGTTTGTTCCAGCCTTGTGCCCTCTGGGCAGGGAATGGGTTAGGTCTGTGGTTCGTTCCCAAGTTGTACACTGAGCCCTGGGAGCCACAGTGAACTCATTGGAAAAGTGTATGGCGGCCGCAGGATCTGTAACATTTTTGACATCCCTCCCACACTGTGCAAACGACTAGCTCGAGAAAGTTTACAGTTTAACGTGAACCATAGTGCATTCCCTTTGGCGATGCTCTGTTTCGTGAAGCTGAGTTTTTGGTGGCTGCCAGGATGCAGCAGGTGGTGCGCACAAATGAACGTGCAGTGGGCAGTGGGCGTGGCATTGTCCGATCTGACCCCAGAGTCTGCAAAGTGGTGCAGTGTCTGCCCACTGCCCATGTCCCATTAGTAAGTAACTGGTGAAGAATGAAATAAAAATATTTTCTTTTTTCCAATTTGTATGATTTTTTTTCAAGCAGCTACTACTCTGTTAGGACATAAATGCTTACTGACTTGTTTGAAGCTAACTCCATAATAAATGGAACTGCTAGGTATTCCTCTGGGCCCGCAGAGCTGTAAAATGTACTAAAACACTAAGGGTGCTGTGAATTGAAAAAGTTTGGGAACAACCGGTTTACCTCTTATCCATCAGAACTCTTAGGTGTTAAGTGGGAGAAGCCACGCTGACTCCGGCTTACAGGCAGGGAATGATTCGCTTCTGTGTCTGGGGTGTCCAGGATTGCCGGTGGCATCAGACTGCATGGGGTTCGGGTCCTGAAGCCTCCATTTCTCCTCCCGTCTCAAAGATGGGCTATCCACACGTGGGTGAGACAGCACCCTGCCCGTCCTTTCCAGACTCACATCCTTTTGGTTGAGCAGTCCCCAGCAGAAAGAATCATCTTAACCAATGCCCTGGGAGGACTTGGGCTGCCTCGGCCAGGGTCACTTGCCCAGCCCTGAATTGAGGCTATGATTAGTGATGGCCAAGCCTAGAGCACATATCTACCCTTGTGCTCAGGTGAGCGCCTTCACTAAACCACACAGAATAGGTAGGTTCTCCACAGAAAAGAGCAGGTTTTATTACCAGGAGAATGGGAGAAGGGGCACAGGACCAAAGACAAATTAACAGATGAGGGGCCAGACTGGTAGTGTGATAGTTTAATAGTTAAACATGCAGGCTCTGGAGTCCCAAGCATCTGGCTTCACTTCCTTGGGCAAATTAACTACATCTGTAAAGGCTTTAGGGTCCTCATCTGTAAAATGGAAATAACTGAAGATAAAGTCCAAGAAATACAAAAGGCTGACCGCCTCATGGAGGTGGTGGTTGAAGGGAGGGCTAAGTGAGTTAATACACAGAAAGTGCCTAGCGTGGGGCCTGGCCCGTAGGAAGCCCTCGGTAAGTGAGCCCATTATTCGTATCCGTCAGGTAACCTGAAGAGCACGGAAGTGGTAAGGGATGCAAGCTTCTGACTCCCGGAGAGGGTGCAAGATAGTGACTTCCTCTTTCCTGTCTGTCACAGAGTGAAGCAGCATGGACGCCGTCAGCCAGGTCCCGGTGGAAGCCACGCTCCCCAAGCACATCCTGGATATCTGGGTCATTGTCCTCATCATCCTGGCCACCATTGTCATCATGACCTCCCTGTTGCTGTGTCCGGCCACTGCAGTCATTCTCTATCGCATGCGGACTCATCCTGTCCTCAGTGGAGCCGTCTGAGATCAGATCTCCTAAGAGGGGCAAGGGAGTGATGTGGATGGTGTCCCCTCCCCCCACTTCTTCCTTCTCGGAAAAGCAGCAGGAGGGGCTTTGGAGTGTGGCCTCGGGAGCCTGCCGCGTGAGAGGAGACTGGGGTTCTGTTTGGATTTTGCCACCAGCCAGCTGTGTGAGTTCAGGCAAGGGACCTAATTCTGTGGGTTCCAGGTTCCTTCTCTTTTAAATGGGGATCATGATCCCTGCCCTTCCTACCTCATAGGGTTGCAAGAACCAATGACTTGGTGGGGGTTAAAGCTGTTGGTGATTGTGAGCAGTAAAGCCCACCACAGATACACAGGTGCTATTGCTAAATGCTGAGAAGCTTCGAAGAACCAAAGTACCTGATCGCTGACGCTGGCCTTCAGGGGGGCGAGGAAGATGCTGGGGGCAGAGCAGCCTTCGCCGGTGCCCCCCAGGTCAAACGAAGCAAAGGCACCCTGTCCTCATTCCAAGGAGCCAGCAGCACTTTGGCTCAAAGTCATTTTCTTTGTGGTGCCACTCCCTCAAGTTATGGAATTTGGAGGGAATTGAGCGTGGCAGGGGGAGGGAGATGGGTGGGACTTCCCAGGACCTTCTCTGTGCCAGAACATCTACCCCTATAACAATCTAGAGGAGGCTGTGCCATTTCTTGGCAGTGCCAAGGGACCTGGGGTGATGGGCTTCTTTCTACATTGGAGTCTCCTCACTTTGACACTCAAGCAATGTTGGAAAACACAGGGTGGCTGAGTGGCCTGGGCAGCTTTCAGGATGTCCAACCCCCACCCACTTGTGTGCCCCACACTCGAGGAGCTCTGTCCCCGCCGCCCCAGCACCCGCTGTAACTAGCTCCATGGTGTGAAGTGTAAGCCCTTCATTCCCTCCCACCAGCAAGCACTGCAGCCAGTCTAAGCTACAGATTTTAAGAGATGTTCCCGGACTGTTGGAACTAACTCAAAAACAATGGTTATTTTAGATGCTATGATCTATATTTATAGAGAGAGATTTCTGGACCACTCAAGCTCCTTGACCAAAATCAGGAGTATCTTGGGATGTATTAAGTTATGTAAAAAGATAGCACAGATATCAGAATATTATGTGGAAGTGATGCTTTGACTTTGGTCTGACTTCATTGATGTATACAACCAATTTCCAATAAAGTGCTAGAATGAACATGTCTGAGATCTTTCTTTAGAGAGCACTTATTAAGCTCAGGAACTCAGGTAAAAGGATTCCACTGAATTTATGGGCCTTAGAGACCATTTGAATGTAAGAACTGAAAGGGAAAGAGAAGAATCCAGTCGACTTCGGGGCTCTATCTTTGGCAAGTGGGTAGTTGCGCAGTTTACATACACAGAGGATGCAGAGGGAAGAACAAATTTTCTAAGTAAGTGATGAATTTTGTATTAGAGATGTCGAGTTTGAGGTGCTTGTGATCTTTAGGCGGACACTCAGGATGAACTGGAAACCTGGGTGTGTTCTTTGGGAAAAATTTTATGGCTGGAGTTACACTTCGGGGGATTATCTGCATATGGTAGATATGCCACACAAGTGGACAGGACCACCCAGGCAGAGTACACAGACTGAGGCAGTGAGGTGCTAAATGCAGAACTTGGCAGATGCTACATAGGAGTGGAAGGGGGATGGGTTGGGGTGGGGGGAGACAAAGCAAGGAGGTGGAAAAGGTCATGTGCTAAGAAGTGATATGAGGGGGGATGCGATCATACTGTGTGAGTTAAGGAATGAGTCAGAGGAGAGGAAGCAGAGACAGAAGGGACACCTCTTTCCAGATATAGGACTGTAGTCTAGAGGTAAGGGAGGAGGGTTTGGGAAGAATGGTCAAGGGGGATAGATATACGTGATAAGATTCTGATTGGTTTGCTCAGCATCCATCCCAACTTTTGCTTTTCTTTTCTTTTCCCCTAATATGCCTTCCTGGGTAACAGAGGCTAGAAAGTGAAAACCTACAATGAATGTGAACACCACATTTTCCTAACTGAACTACAGTCAGAGATTCAGACGTGATTTAGGTTTTGCTAATCAGATGCACACATGTGAGGCTTCCGTGTGGGACCTAGCTGGGCTTGGGACAGAGACCACAGGGTGCGAAACATCCACGGTCCCATTGTCGATCCATAGCTATGGGCAAAAGACAGAGCCAAGAATTCCGCGTTTTTAATGCGGTGCCCTGTCCTTCGAGAAGCATAGTACCGAAGTATCTGGGAACTTTGTTTCACTGTGACAGCTGCCCAGAACTTAAACCTCCTAATTGCTTGCTGGAAGAAACCTTGGAACATTTGTAATTGATAAGCATAATCTTAGTCTTGGGCAATTCAAGCCTACGAGAAGCAGCACCCTGGGAATTGCTGAATGTGGGCGTAGGCTGTGTTGTGCATTCCCTAGCCTTTCTGAGTCTGATTCCAGGTCTGTAGAGTGGAAGGTATCAGAATTAAATGAGAAAATCATTCTATGATTTTAGGGTCGAGTGTAAATAAGAGACTTTTAGGCAGCCCCCCAGATGGCGATACAGCTTTTTTTTTTTTTCCAAGTGGAGTAGTTAGCTCACAGAAGTTTTCAGCCCATCTTATCACATTCCTAGCAGCTCAACATTTTATCTTTCTGGTTCTGGTTTCAGCAGCTCTGAAGGTAACTTAGGAACATCCAGTCCAACCTCCCCTATAATAAAGGAATCCCCTCTCGAATGAGAAGGTTGCCACGTGTGGCCTATTCAGTATTTCCCAGTGTTGTTCTAGATCACCTGCAACAGGTTCACCCAGGAGCATTTATTTATAAATTCGGCTCCCAGGGGCCTGCTTCACACTTACTGAGAATCTCTGGGAAAAGGTCTTGCGTATCTGCTTTGTAAAAACAAGCTCCCTGGGTGATCAGTGAGCAGGTTAAACGTGGAGAACCACATGCTGGTGGAAAGGAATCCACTTCTTACTGAAACCACTCCTTGACAGCTGTTGTATTAAAATTCTTCCTTTAAGAGAGAAGTCAGGTCTTGGGATGCTAGCTCTGCCCTCTTGGGTCCACCCTGAAGAGATCAACTTCCTTTTCCTGGGGAAACTTCTGAACATTTTTTTAAAAAGATTTATTTATTTATTTTAGAGAGAATGGGGTGGGGAGGGGCAGAGGGGGGGGAGAGAGAATGTCAAGCAGACTCCTGCTGAGTGCAGAGCCTGCCGTGGCCTGAGCAGAAGAGTTGGCCACGTAACTGACTGAGCCGCCCAGGCACCCGCTTCTGAGCATTCTGAATGAAGATCGCTGTCATGACTTACCTCACCCCACCATCTTGCCTGGGTGGGAAATTCACACTTTGCATTACATGGTGGCTGTCATCCTCCCTCCCTCCTTTGCCAGGAGAGCAAGGGCCTGAAGAATCTTGGCTTCAGTATGCATTGGCTCTCTGATTGTGGACAAGTTAACAAACTCTTTGAGTCTTAATTCCCTCATCTGTAAAATAGGCATAGAAGTAACTCTAGCTACCTCACAGGTTTGTTACAAGGATTAAATGTGGTCACAGCCACAAGGAGAAATGGTAAAATACAGCAAATGCTCAATACATGTGATCTATTACTAACGAGTCCCAGTTTCTTCATCTGTAAAATGGTGATGACAGTTACTTCTGAGTGTGGAGAGGATTAAATGAGATCAAAAAGTAAAAAATTTGGCCAGTGCCTGACTCATAGTAGCCTCTCAATAATGGTAACTATAATATATGGCCAATAATGCAAAAATACCAAAGACCTAATGGGGTTGGATCCTTAAATCACCAGTTAAATTAGTAACATTGGCACTAAATTCACGGAGGGCCTCAAACAAGTATAAAAGTCGTACCTCTTCTATATTAATCTCCCTTTAGAAATTCTTTCTTTCTTTCTTTTTTTTTTTTTAAGATTCTTATTTATTTATTTGAGAGACAGAGCACAGAGGGAGAAGCAGGCTCCCCGATGATCAGAGAGCCCGATGCGGGGCTTGATCCCAGGACACCGAGTTCAATACCTGAGCCGAAGACAGATGCTTAACTGACTGAGCCACCCAGACGCCCCTAGAAATTATTTCATAACTTATTCACCATTATTTAATCAAACACAAAGTGTTTCCACTTTTAAGTTTTAATCCTTTACAGAAGTTGCTTTCTACATTTTTAAGTGTAAAAAAAATTTAAAAACCTTTCAGTAAGATAAAATTTTCATCAGGCCTTTACATGATTCTTGCTAAAGAGAGAATGGAAAGAGGATTGTGATGTGAAATGATGATAATAAAATCTTGAAATCTGGGCGCCTGGGTGGCTCAGTTGGTTAAGCGACTGCCTTCGGCTCAGGTCATGATCCTGGAGTCCCTGGATCGAGTCCCGCATCTGGCTCCCTGCTCGGCGGGGAGTCTGCTTCTCCCTCTGGCCCTCCCCCCTCTCATGTGCTCTCTCTCTCTCATTCTCTCTGTCTCAAATAAATAAATAAAATCTTAAAAAAAAAAAATCTTGAAATCTTTAATTACCAAAGTCGAAGCAACTTTTAAATTGTCCAGATCACACGAAGAATTTGATTGAGGTGTATGAGAGGCTTTTCAATTCCCATAGAGATTTACATGCTAGAAAAAAGTTTTTTGGGTGCCTGGGTGGCTCAGTCGGTTAAGCGTCTGCCTTTGGGTCAGGTCATGATCCCAGGGTCCTGGGATCGAGCCCCCCACGTCGGGCTCCCTGCTCAGTGGGGAGCCTGCTTCTCCCTCTGCCTTTGCCCCCACACCACTCATGCTCTCTTTCTCTCTCGCTCACTATCTCAAATAAGATCTTTTTAAAAAAAAGTTTGTGTTAGCAGGTTAGCAAGTAATGTTGACATTACTTGTCAACATCCAAAAAGTTTTTATATATATTTAAAGTTGGACAGCTACCATTATACAGTGAATTGTTTACATGTGTGAACTTCCGGACAAGCACACTGAAATCCATGTGGCGCCACCAGCATGTTCTGTTGAAAACAGCTGTCTCAGAGTCTCACTGCCCTCATTTGTAAAACGGGAGGTCATGCTTATCTCTGTGGTGCCTCTGAGATTAAGCAAGACACCGTATCTAAAATATTTACAGACCCCAACTTGCAGGAAGTACTCAGCGCTTCTATGTTACCTAAAAATGGAGGAGGATCGTTAACTCTCTCTTTTATATACAGATACGGGTGGGGCAAGTCTGCTGGATTGGTTTCACCCAAACACCCGAGGAAACATTCCCAGGGCACCCGCAGGAGAGCACCAAGAGGCAAAGACACCAGCAGGGTGTCTGCGAATTCGGTTCTGACACTCTCCACCTGGAAAGAGAACATCAGATCCCACAGGTGAAGGGTTCAGTCCCACAGGACTGCTCTCCACATCACAGGCCAGGCGCAAACCCCAGTTGTTACCTGCGCTTCTGACCTATGGCTACAAATTGGAGGACCCAACAACTCCTCTCCAACTCAGGGCACCAATGTCAAGTCCGGGTTGTTACCTCTACTTCGGACTGGCCATAAATCAGAGGTTCCCACAACCTCCTCCTTGCCTTCCATTAATTTGCTAGAGCACCTCTCGGAACTCAGAGAAACCTGTTTATTTACTAGATTACTGATTTATTACAAGGGATATTGAAGGATATGAATCAATAGCCAGATGGAGAGATACATAGCGTGAGGTCCTGAACAAAGGAGCTTCTATCCCTGTGGAGCTTGGGGCCTGGCACTGTGGCACATGGAAACTCTGAACCCCCTCCTTTTAGGTTTTTATGAAGGTTTCATCACATAGGCATGATTGATTAAATCATTGGCCGTTGGTGACTGATTCAACCTCCAGCCTTTCTCCCCTCCCTGGAAATCGGGGGTGGGGACTGAAAGTTCCACTCCTATATTCATGGTTGGTTTCCCTGTCCAGCCATGGGGCAACCAGCCCCATCCTTACCTGCCTTCCACAAGTCACCTCACTAACGTAAATCCAGTTGTGGTGGAAAGGAGCTTGTTATGAATAACAAGACCCCCCATTTCACCTTTATGGCTCTGAAGCAATTTCAGGAACTGAAGGCAAGAGACCAAATATGATGACAAAAGATGCCCTCATTGCTCTTATCACTTCAGGAAATTCCAAGGAGCTGAGAGCCAGGAACTGTGGACAATGAACAAATAGATTTTGGTTGTCTGAATGACCAAATA